TATCTATCTATCATCTATCCATCCATCCATCCATCCATCCATCCATCCATCCATCCATCTATCCAACTATATTTATCCATCCATCCATCCATTCATCCATCCCTATCTATCTGTCTGTCTGTCTGTCTATCTATCTATCATCTATCCATCCATCCATCCATCCATCCATCCATCCATCCATCCATCCATCTATCCCTCTATCATCTACCTACCTACCCACCTACCCATCCATCCATCATCCACCCATCCATCCGTCCGTCCGTCCATCCATCCATCCACTATCTATCTGTCTATCTATCATCTATCTATAGAATCTGTATGTCCATCCACCCATCCATCCATCCATCCACCTACCTTCCTATTCTATCCTATCTCCATCATCCATTCATCTATCTGCCTGCCTGCCTGCCTGCCTACCTACCTACCTACCTACCTACCTACCTATATGTATGCATATTTTGCTTGCCCGTTGTGGTTATTTCTGCATTTCAAGCATGGAAAAGAGAGTTTTTGCCTGCTTCAAAAGCTGTTTTTCTTCTTCGCTTTTTGCAAACCTTCTTAACATAAGAAAGGAAGCTTTTTACTGAAAGAAAACAAAAACAGGAAAAAAAAACACCCCACTAAGTTCAATTAGACCACTTCCTTTGCTAAATTGCCGGCCTGTACATCCAAAGTGGTCCCCCCCCACACACACACCCTTCCCAAGTTTATAAATAGCTTTACTCATTCGGAGCAGAGAGCAGCCACGGAGGTCCGATGATTGCCGGGCAGGGGGTTGTGAGGGGCTCACAATCACCCCCACCCCATAAACCACAAGTGACCAGAGTTGGAGAGGGAATTTGGACCTGGAGCGGGGTAGCATCCTTGGGTCTGCCGTGTCTTGGATGAGGGTGGGGGTGTCTCTGCCAGGAGAGGCAGTGCCCTTGGTCTCCGAGAAGAACAGATGGCATCAAACTCCCTTTCTTCTTCCTAGCAAGCCCCTCGCACCACAACATCTCCGAGTGGAGGATGCAAAGCATTGCCCGCGACTCGGAGGAGAGCTCCGACGAGGAATTCTTCGATGCACACGGTAGGTGGGAAACACGTGCGCGGGCCCCCCCGCGCGCACCTTTTCCAAATGGGTTGCCTTAATTGGGGAAGGGGCCGAGCTGGGACTTTGGATTCTTCTTGCCCGCAATTCTGGCCCCGTCTGGACAAGCAGGCAACTCTTCGCAGAAGAGAAAAGTTTATTGATTGCTCGGTGGAAACTTTGGGGTAGCTTTGGCAATTTTAATGGTGGGTGGGTTTTAAGGCGGGGGTGGGGAGAGGGAAGGAGATCCAAGAGGCTCGGAAGGGCAAAATAAATTAAAACAAAAAAGGCAACGAGAGTTCGCCTTCCGCCCCTCAACCCACGCCCGACTGGCAGATGATAAAAATAATGATTAAAAATAGAATGTTAAGGTATTTATGCCTTAATTGCTTTCTCTTTCTACTCCTCTTTCTCTACCTTCCCCTCCTCTCTTCTTCCCTCCCCTCCTCCTCCTCTTCTCTTTTCTCTCCTCTTCTCATCTTATATCTGCTCTCTTCTGCATTCTCTTCTTTTCTCTTTTCTCTCCTCTCCTCTTCTCCTCTTATATCTCTTCTTCATTCTCTTCTCTTCTTTTCTCTCCTCTCCTTATCTTATATCTGCTCTTCTCTTCTGCATTCTCTTCTTCTTCATTCTCTCCTCTCCTCTTCTTATCTTATATCTGCTCTTTGCCTTCTTCTCTTCTTGTCTCTTTTTTCTCCTCTCCTCTTCTCCTCTTATATCTCTTCTTCTCCTCTTCATTCTCTTTTCTTCTTTTCTCTCCTCCTTATCTTATATCTGCTCTTCTCTTCTGCATTCTGTTCTTCTTCATTCTCTTCTCTCCTCTCCTCTTATATCTGCTCTTCTTTTCCGCATTCTTCTTCTCTTCTTTTCTCTCCTCTCCTCTTCTCCTTATATCTGCTCTTCTCTTCTGCATTCTCTTCTCTTCATTCTCTTCTTCATTCTCTTCTCTTCTTTTCTCTCCTCTCCTTATCTTATATCTGCTCTTCTCTTCTGTGTTCTCTTCTTCTTCATTCTCTTCTCTTCTCTCCTCTCCTTTTATCTTATATCTGCTCTTCGCTTCTGCATTCTCTTCTCTTCTTCGTTCTCTTCTCTTCTTTTCTCTCCTCTCTTTATCTTATATCTGCTCTTCTTTTCTGCATTCTTCTCTTCTTTTCTCTCCTTTCCTCTTCTCCTTATATCTGCATTCTTCTCTTCTGCATTCTCTTCTCTTCATTCTCTTCTCTTCTTCATTCTCTTCTCTTCTTTTCTCTCCTCTCCTTATCTTATATCTGCTCTTCTCTTCTGCATTCTCTTCTTCTTCATTCTCTTCTCTTCTTTTCTGTCCTCTCTTTATCTTATATCTGCTCTTCTCTTCCGCATTCTTCTCTTCCCTTCTTTTCTCTCCTCTCCTCTTCTCCTTATATCTGCTCTTCTCTTCTGCATTCTCTTCTCTTCTCTTTTCTTCTCTTTTCTTTTCTTTTCTTCCTTAGAGGGTATCTCTGAGAACGAAGAGGTCTTCCCGAAGGAGATTACAAAATGGAGTTCCAACGATCTCATGGATAAGATTGAAACGGCAGAAGCGGATGAAGTCCCAGGTAGCCTCTATTTAGGGAACAAATTGAGGGGTACAGGCTGTAATCCTCTCGGATGCTTTGCACAACTTAAGAGTTGTGGAAACGGTGGCGAGTAACCTCTTCTTCCCTAAAGGGACTCGTCTCCTCTGAGGCAAGGAAGGATCTTGGCCTACTCTCCCCAAGAAAGTCAAAGACCTCCCAGCTGATTGTGTTGAGTTTGGGTCAAGCAGCAATGGCCATAACTTTTCTCTGGATTAACTCCTGACGTTCTCTCTGGCAGGAGAATTGTCCTGACCTAAGCTTCCCCAAAAAGGAGAAGTCAGATTCCTGGTCCCGACAAAACCCCTTTTATTAAGCGAATGTGAATTCCCCCCCCTTCACATTCAGCCAAGGCCTGGCAAACAGTCTTTCAAAGGAGTATTTATCACCACAGAACTTATCTAGCTTGGAAAGCTGCCATGTCCATATTTTCCCAATGAGGTGTTGTGCAAGGAAAGACTACAGAGTCTCTTGAGATTCACGGACAGATCTTCACACTCCTGAAATGAATCTAACAAACGAAGGAATTGTTTCCTGCAAAAGCCCACTCCCCTTTTCGCTCCTCTTTTATTCCCCCTGGGAGGAGCCAATCACCTTCCGCCTGTGGCTTTACTCTCAAGTCGACCCTGATTTCTTAGCTGTTCTTGTCTTCTGGCAGCTCTGTGCATGCCCACACTGGGAACAGGCTCCAGATGTTCCTCTGCCTCACTGCTGTCTAGCTCTGTAGGCACCTGATCACTGCCAGGCGGCCTCATCCCCATCTCTGCTTCCGACGCCCAGCCCTCGTCAGAGCCTTCCCCAGACTCCAGGACTGGCCCATGTTCCTCCCCAACCCTCCTCACTGTCCGAATCTGCTGCCAGCTCCACTGGGCGCTGTCGGGCCACAAGAATAAATCCAGATCATACGCCTATTTTTTTTCCCCCTTCCAGATGACCCAAATCTTGAATCAGCTGTGGGATACCATGTCGGATGCAGCGTGGAAAGACTCAGCATTATTGAGGTATAACGTTTGAACCCATGCCCTGCTCTTCTTGAACAGCAAACGAACGTAACTATTCTGCACCCCTTCTCCCGTGATCTGTCCCTAAAACCTGAGACGGGGACTGCAAAACCGCTTGGCTTGTTCTCTTGAGGGGGCTCCCCCCAAAATGTGGTCCCAGAATTACGGTCCTTAAATCGTTGCGGTCATACGTCGAGGCGACATATAACCAATTTTATGAGAAGGTGTATGGTGGTATTAAGCCAATGATGCAGTCATTACGTTTCCCCAATGGGTATATTTTTTTTCCCTGGGAACCAGGATTAAATGGGGGAGCCCAGTTGCAAATCACAGTTGTGCAATCGTGGGGAGGCCATAAATGGTTACCAAAAAAAATGTGTTCACATCAGGGGTGGTATTCAGCAGGTTCTGACCAGTTCTGGAGAACCGGTAGCGGAAATTTTGAGTAGTTCAGAAAACCAGCAAATACCACCTGTGGCTGGCCCTGCCCCCATCTATTCTCTGCCACCTGAGTCCCAGCTGATTGGGAGGGAATGGGGATTTTGCAGTATCCTTCCCCTGGAGCTGGGAGGGAAGGGAGATTTTGCAGTATCCTTCCCCTGGAGCGGGAAGGGAAGGGAGATTTTGCAGTATCCTTCCCCTGGAGTGAGGAGGGAATGGAGATTTTGCAGTATCCTTCCCCTGGAGCGGGGAGGGAAGGGAGATTTTGCAGTATCCTTCCCCTGGAGTGAGGAGGCAATGGAGATTTTGCAGTATCCTTCCTCTGGAGCGGGGAGGGAAGGGAGATTTTGCAGTATCCTTCCCCTGGAGCAGGGAAGCAATGGAGATTTTGCAGTATCCTTCCTCTGGAGCGGGGAGGGAAGGGAGATTTTGCAGTATCCTTCCCCTGGAGTGGAGAAGCAATGGAGATTTTGCAGTATCCTTCCTCTGGAGCGGGGAGGGAAGGGAGATTTTGCAGTATCCTTCCCCTGGAGCAGGGAGGGAATGGAGATTTTGCAGTATCCTTCCTCTGGAGCGGGGAGGGAAGGGAGATTTTGCAGTATCCTTCCCCTGGAGTGGGGAGGGAATGGAGATTTTGCAGTATCCTTCCTCNCGTTGCAACATCCTCATGGTCACGTGATCAAAATTTTGTTTGGCAACAGATTCGTATTTATGCTGGTTTCAGTGTCCTGGGGTGACCTTTTGACAAAAAAAATTTTTTTTAATCAAGCCCCCCTCTTTTCCAATCTGAAAATCTGGTCACCTTAAACTAGATTCCTTGGGTTGAGCAAGGATGGCAAGGACAAAGGCAAAATGGACTGCTATGCCATGCCCACTCAATCACATGACCACCTAGCTACACCCATCCAGTCACATGACCACCTAGCCACGCCCACCCAGCCGGTCCACCACCCCCAACAGTGTGAGGGAACGTGAATCGGCCCCCTGTTCAAATAGTTTGAGGACCCCTGCTCTAAATTGAAAGGATCCTTGGCTCCGTTTGTTGAGAAAGGTATAATTTTATTAGAAGTCAATTGTATTGCAGCAATGCATAGCCAGAACCAAGAATCACATGCCAAATCCCCAAAGTTCAACTTTTCCCTCCCTTAACTGCTGTCCATCCCTGACCCCCACCCCACCCCCATGACCAATCACATTCAAACAAGATATTTTCAGAACGGACATTTCAAGCGTAGTTGGCATGCAGCTTCTTCTTCCATCCGGGTGACCTTGAAGCAGTGTCTCAGGGAGACACAATAGTTACTTTTGCTTTCCCCCAATGCATTCCCCCTACCATCCACCCTCTCCAGAGTCCATGACAGACTGTCACTGTATGGTAACAAAGAATACAAGCAAGTGTACAGTGGCAGCTGACAGGTGGCCTGTAAACGCTTGTGGCTCTAAAAAGAGGGCAGTTGGTTGAGGGTCAGAGAAGTAACCTGGTTTCTTTTCTTGATTTTCCTTCAGGGGGCATTTTGTGGCCTTTTGGTTGGCATGGTGATAGGCCTGATCCGGATGGTTTTGGATTTCGTCTACCTGCAGCCGGGCTGTGGGGAGTCAGATGACCGGCCAGCTGTGGTGAAATACGTGCATTATCTCTACTTCTCCATGATCCTGGGAGTGATCACGCTCATCCTGGTGGTGGCTGTCAGCCTCTTGACAGAGCCCCCTCCGGAGGAAATGGTATGCGCATTGAAAGGGATGCTGCCTGTTTTCACTGTCATGGTTTAGCGCCCTGCTTAGACTGATCTGGCTACCTAGAATAAAATCAGTGATCTAAGAAATTGATCTAAGAGTCACGTAGAGAAAAACAGTCAGCCAAATGGGTAGAGCAAATGCCTGTTTCAATAGAAATATTCCCTACCCACCCCCCGAATTAAGCTCTGTAGACTCAAGCTTCATTAAATACCAGAATAGGTTGGTTGGAGCTGCCTGTTTTGCAGTGAGATCTTGTTCCAAAGACAGTAACAGAAGAAGAGTTGGAAAGGACTTCAGAGGTCTTCTAGTCCAGCCCCCTGATCAAGCAGGAGATCTTATGCCATTCCAGACAAGTGGCTATCCAATCTCGTCTTAAAAGCCTCCAGTGATGGAGCATCCACAACTTCTGAAGGCAACTTCTGTTTCGCTGGTTGATTGTTTTCACTGTCAGGAAATCTTTCCTTAGTTCTAGGCTGTTTCTCTCCTTGATTAGTTTCCATCCATTGTTTCTGGCCCTGCCTTCAGGTGCTTTGGAAAATAAGTTTGTCCCCCTCTTCCTTTGAGTGTTGGAAGACTGCTATTATGTCAGGAATCAGACGCCTCAAGGTTTAGAAATTGGGATTTCTATAGAGAGGAAAAACTATGATACAACCTAGAGAAATGTGCAAACTTGCTAGTTCTGCAGAGACCTACAGTATATTAGCAGAGGCCAAAAAGTATGCAGAACCTTTACATTTTCTCCATTTTAGCTGTGCTGTAAAAACATATGGGACTCTTCCCCTCCACCTTCTGCATGCTTACTTCACCATCCAGACCACACTGCCAGCTGAGGGCCCAGGAAGGCCCCGTGTTTGGAATGGCGATGGTGGAGCATCGGCCCCGATTTCTGGCAATGGGAAGTCACCTTCCCTGGTCGCTCCTGTGAGCCTCTTGGTGGAGCATGTCTTCAGGCGCAGGGGTTGGACTGATGATTTCATTCATTCTGGCTACTTTCATCCTCTGTGTAAGCTGCAAAACAGCAAATCCGCTCTCAATAAGGTTTAAAGATGAACAGAGTTGGAAGCAGTGGTGGGTTGCAGGCGGTACGCCCCGGTACGGCTGTACCAGAGCCTCCCCGGAGCTCCTTACCGCCTGCCCACCCGCGCTCCTTACCAGTCTTTAAAGTCTTCAGTGCTTACGCACACGACGCGTACAGCACCTGCACAATGCTCTGCTGAGCAGCTGGAGCGTCGCAGAGGCTCGTGGAGGCATCGCTGGACGGCAAGATGCATGTGCGCACTGCGCACGTCCATGTGGATGACACCGGGTTGGAACGGGATCCGGAACCCACCACTGGTTGAAAGGGACCTTGTAGGTCACCTAGTCCAACCCCCACCCACCCACCCAAGCAGGAGACCCTACACCATTTCTGACAGATGGCAGCCCAATCTCTTCTTGATGAACTTGTTGAGTTAACCAGCTTAACCTAAGGCTGGCACCAAACTCCAATTGTGGTGCCCTTTGCATGTGGAATGCCTTTGGAATAGAATAGAATTCTTTATTGGCCAAGTGTGATTGAACACACAAGGAATTTGTGTTTGGTGCAGATGCTCTCATTGTACATAAAATGGCAAGATACGCTATGTTTGCAAAAGTATTCGCTCACCCATCCACATAATCAGAAGCAGTTGTGAGCGAATACTTTTGGTAATATAGTGTACATTCGTCACGAATCATAAGGTGCAAGAAAGGAAGGAAGCCATTCTGTTGAATCCTGGTTTTTGTCTAAACAGATCAGCCGTCTCACCTGGTTCACACGGAAGGATGTTCCAAGAAAAACTGATGTTCCGATTCCCTCGTTATCCATTCCGGTCAAGGGAATCCATGAGGCTGGTCCTTCTCCTGCAGGGCAGCTGGAAATCACGGATGGCCCAGAAAACACCTTCCAAAACCATTCAGGTAAGAGGCCCGTCTGGGAGAGCGATAGAATCTGTCATCTGATGGAGATCACACATTGGGGCTCCGGGGGGGGGGGGGTTGTGCCTCCTTGAACTCCTTCTCCAAAGGGACAGAGCAGAAGTCAAATTGGCCAGAGTCCCATGCTGGACATCCCCCCCACTCCAGTCTAAAGTAGGTTCCAGTCTGTGAATTGATCAGGTGGAACCATTGTTTCGATTTAGTGCAGAAAAACTGATTGAAATATTAATTGCATTACTCTATTGCCGTGATGGCGAACCTATGGCACGGGTGCCAGAGGAGGCATGCAGAGCTCTCTGTGAACACGCATGCCATCACCAGCTTCTCTTCTGGTTTCTGATGTGCCAGCCAGCTGGTCTTTGTGGGCACCAGAAAACGGCCTGAAAAACAGCCTGAAAATGGCCCCCAAAAAAACAGGCATGTACACACCGGCCAGCTGGTCTTTGGGTTTCCAGTGCTCCGGCATGTGCACATGCATGCGCGTTCCAATTTGGGCACGGTGCCAAAAAGGTTCGCCATCTCTGCTCTATCGTCTCTTTCTCTCTCTCTCTCTCTCCCTCTCCCTCTCTCTCTCTTTCATCTGTCTTCTAACATCTATGTATATCATCTATTTCCCTTCCTGTCTCTGTGTGTTGCATTCATTCATTCAATTTCTATAGCTGTCCATCTCAACCAATGACGCTAGGTGGCAATTCTAAAACTATTTAAAAAACCATTTAAAGCATCAAAAACATCCAAAATAAACATAGCGCATACAGCAGCTAATTAAGCCAGTTAAAAGTGAATCCAAGGAAGCCAGCCCATAACCCATGTGGAGACCCAGACAAGGCTATTCAGCCAAGTCTCTAAAGCTTTATGGAAAGTCATCAGGGCCATTCTAATGTTGGAGGGGGAGAGAAAAACCCTTGAGTGAAAACCTACAGTGAAAAGGGGAAGATTCAATCCTATCCAGTGGTGGGATCCTGCCAGTTTAACATCTGGTTTGGTGACTGCATGCTTCGTGTGCAGGCATCAGGAGTTTTAAACAAAACCTACCTTCCACCAGTGGTGGGTTTCTACCAGTTCGGACCCGTTCGGCCAAACCGGCAGTGATTTGGTGGCCTAGGTCGCTGGAATTGGCAGCAAGACAGGCTGGCCATGCCTCCAAACAGGGTCCCTGAGTGGCGCCGTCGATGCCGCCATCTTGTTTTTCAGTTCTGCGCATGCGCAGAATTTTAATTGTACTGCACATGCGCGCGCAGCACGCATCAAGCGCGCACATGAGTGAACCAGCAGTAGTGCCTGCCGAAACCCACCTCTGCCTTCCACATTACTTCTGGGGAGTAACACAGCTGAGGTGTGGGAATCTGTGCAAATCAGCTGAGAGGATATAGGTAAGTAAAGCGCAGGGGTGGGCGGGTGGACCCACCTGATCATCAGAGTGAACCGGTTCGCTCCCCAGCTGATTGTCGGAGCTACCGGTTCACCCAAACCAGTTCAAACCGTCTGAATCCCACCCCTGATCCTATCTCCTCCTTCCCAAGCCCAGGTAGCCTTGATCATCTGAGTTTCTGTCTCCCAAACTCTGAGGGGAGGGTTTCCAAGTGCAGGTGAATCAGGAAGCCAGCCAGGCCTCGTGAACGGAGGCTGGGCAGGAGCAGAATCCCCCATTGGCATCCAGAGATGGATTGCTCCATTGTCTTTGGAGAGTTATCCAGGTTGCAGTTGTCCCAAAGGTGCTTTTTCCAAAAGGCAACTGGAGTTTCTTGGGTTTTTCCTTGAAAGAATTTCGCTTCTCCTCCAAGAAGCTGCCTCAGTTTACTCAGGTGTGCAATAGGTCTCCGAACACTCAGACAGGAGGGGCTATGGGTGCATTTCCATTGTTTTAAGGGAGGCTGAGATGTGCTTTTCTGGGGACAAAGCAGTTCCTTGGCTCAAAAGTAAGTCTGAGCATCTTCTATCCTGGCTACAAAATCATGGGTGTCCCCCTCCCCACAAGCATTAAAGAGGTTGGAAAATGGTGCTGATAGGAGCCCCAATATCTGAGAATCCCCAGGGCTGCCCCCCCTCTCTCCCTCTCCCTCCAATGGGAGGAAGGGAATTCCACAGGCTTGTAGTGACCCCTAGAGGAGATTCTTGGCAAAGCCCAACAGATCCCTTGCTGAGGGGCCTTGCCAAACCAAAAAAAAAAAAAAAAAAACCCAAGCCCTTGCAAATTTGTAAAAGTTGAATTAGGACATTAAATCTACTAACCTGAGCTTTAGAATTTATAATGACACATTCTGGGATCAGCGTTTTAGCCTCCAGTCCCCTCATCTTCTCACTACTGATTGTCTTGCCTGCAGGTCCTTTGGACACCAAGAGGAAGGAGTCTAAATTCATGAGCCTTTTTTTGTGGGTCTGTGGGATGGAGAGCAGAGATAAGGACTCGCCCGGGACCCCTGCTGAACCCAAAGCTGCAGTCACAGCCATCCTTGATGAAGCACCTCTGGTGAAGCACATCCTCAACATCAACCTGATCTTGTGCATCAGCGCGGGGGTCTTCCTCTGGGCCTACTTTGCGTAGCATCGGACCCTGCCAGCCATTGCAGAGATGCTCTTAGTGCTTTTGGGCTTCCACCATCAAGAACAAGGAGCATCAAAGAGAAGAGGAAGTGACGATCTTGCACATTATACATTGTTTGGCTCCCATAGGAAAAATGGTAGAATTGCGTGAAGAATTCTGCTTTGGTTGGATAAGGCAGCAAAGGGAAGCCTGAAGCCCTTTGTTATAAACATTGAACATTTAGCACATGTAAACCAAAACCAAAAGAACTTTGCACTTTTGACTGTTTTATCCCCCATGGATGCTCTTGGACCAGAATCATAAACAAACAGCATTCCCGGGATTCATGGAACTAAAAAAAAGCCAATGGTGACAGTGTATTTTTACTCAACTTGCTGTGTCTTCTTGGAATACGGAAAACATTTGATAAAAATCAGATCTGGATGGAATTGCATGCAAAATCCTGCTGCAAGTTGGCTTGACAGCAGAACATTATTTGAAGAACAACCGTGTTGGGGCTGTTTTTCCTTACAGTCGCAGGGGTCTAATGATGGATTTTGTCCCAATTCTGTTTTGAAGCTCCCTGTCTTCTGTTTTGTCACATTGTGGAACTTCACGGGCTGCCTGTGGTGTAGGAGCAAGGAAAAGAGTCAAGCCACCCCTCACCTAATGTGGGGGGCAACGTTGCTGCATGGTCAGGATGGGATCTGTTCCTTAGGCCAGTTCTCTTCGTGGACATCTTCTCTGAGGACACTTTGAGGAACCTCAAAACCCCAAAGAAAAAGGGGTTGTTTGGGCAACTATATGCCAAGGACATTTTGGTAGGCTGATGCAATTGACACGAAGACCCCTTGCTCTGTTAGGTGGAATGTTCCCCCGATTCAGCTCCAGGAGCCTCTATAGCTCAGTGACCTAAGAGTGTCTCCCAGAGCCGGCAGGGAGGGTCCCATCTGGGCAGGAAGTCCAGTCCACACTTATGGCCCTCATTCCTTTCAGTTGCTGGTCTAGACTGATGTAAACCCCCATGTTAATTGCAGCATGGTTGCAATGACATATAGGGGCAAAGCCTAATACCGTGTTTCCCCCCAAATATGACCTACTCAGAAAGTAAGTCCTAGCTGGATAACCGGGGGGAAAAAGATCCGCACAAGTGAGGAGTCAGTGGACGACATCCCCCACCCAGAAAATAAGACCTGGTGCCTTTTTTGGTGGCAATATATATGTATATGTGATAGGGTCTTATTTTCGGGGAAATACAGTAGAGTGTGATTAAGTTGGGATTTCCAAATCCAGACATCTAAACCATGGATGGTGAACCTTTTTGGCATCTAGTTCCCAAACTGGAATGCGCATGCATCTGTGCGCCTTGAAGCGCCAGAAACCTGAATACTAGCTGGCTGGTGCACGCATGCATTTTTGGGCGGTTTTCGCCGGGTCTTTGCCCATCTCTTTGGGCTGCTTTCAGGTCATTTCCGGCCCAAAAACCAGCCTGAAAATGGCCCAAAAAATTATTGGAAAACAGCCGGAAACTGGCTGTTTGGGGGGCATTTTCCAGCACCCGCAAACACCGGCTGGCTGGTATGCACATGTCTGTTTTTTGCCTTTTTTCAGGTTGGTTTTTGGGCCGTTTTCAGGCCGTTTTCCGGTGCTTCAATGCCGGCCGGCATGCTGGAAACCAGCAAAGCAGCTGGCGATGGCACACAGGCCCATAGGGAGGGTTCTCTGAATGCCACCACATAGGTTTGCCATCACGGGTCCAAACCATGGTTTGTGGCTAAGTGCAGAACAGTGTTGAGAATAGCAACTTTCCTTAGTCCGAGCCTGGCAACGCATCATGCCTCGAGACTCTCAGGCACACAAAGGCCAAACACCACTTCCATTTGCTTCCTGTTCAAGTGTGTTTGGCTCACAGGCATTTATTCTCAGGGGAAGGAAGTAATGCTGATGACAAAGAGTATCAGGCCCTGATAAAAATGTCCCATAGGAAAGTGTGGGAGAAGTTGGATCTTTAACCGGAAATGAAGCTATGAAGGCAGGATGAGAAACCCAAGGGCTTCCCCATCACATCTCTGCGGGCAGCACCAGAAAGGGCTGTGGTTCCCTCATGTCCAGCAAGGGATCATGTGGGCAGCCTCCTCTTCCTGGGTGCAAAAATACAAAATGTATTGTTTACATACTTTGCAAGTAATGACAGGTTTTTCGTGGTGTTTAACAACGTCTGTGTTGCTATTTATTATTCTGAATGGAAGGAGGGACCTCTGCAGACATGCAGCTCTATCCCTGGGTTCTGCTGGTTCCCCTTGGGTCAGTTTTCTTCTCAAGACGCCCCTAAGCCTACTTCAAGTCTATGTTTACCAGATCGGACGTCCTGCAGGAAGGCTACACCATGCCATTCTCTTTCCTTTTGGCTGTTGCAGGAGGAGCTCTAGAACAATAAATACATACAGCTCAATGGTGTGATTCTTTTTTTAAAAAAAACTTTTTTATTGGTGTGTATATATATATATATATATATATATATATATATATATATATATATATATATATATATATATGTATGTATGTATGTATGTATGTATGTATGTATGTATGTATGTATGTATGTTTGTGTGTGTGTGTGTGTGTGTGTGATATTTGTGCTGATAAATAAATAAAGGGAGACTAGTATAGATCTATTTCAAGCTATTTAGCTCTCATCAGCTAGCCATACCCTTACTGGGATTCGAACCTGGGCTGTATTACATATTAGGCAGATATGTTAACCACTAAGCCTCCCTTTATTTATTTATCAGCACAAATACAACACAAATGTAACAAAGGCAACAGTAAAAATATTGGGTTTCTGTCTGGATGGTCTCTTGTGACAAGCCGATAGACAAAGACATATATATGGCTCTGTGTGTATGTGTATGTTCCAGCATAACTCTGGAACGTCTTGGGCAATTTCAACCAACCTTGGTACACAGATGACTAACACCTCTGTGTGTGTGTGTTCTGTTAAGATACAGCCTGTTGTGCCTTAAAATGGCTTCTACCGTACTGCCGTAAAATGGCTTCTACTGTACAGCGCAGTGGAGTTGCCATGGTAACGGCTGCACAGTACTCCACAAAGGGGCTCCCTCTGGTAAGTGGAAAAATCCAAAATTAGAAATTACGTTTGGTTTGGACATTTCCACCCTATAAATAAATACCCGGGCAATGCTTTTATCAACTAGTATATAAATAAAGAAACCTCAGCAATGAATTTCAGAGTTTGGCATTTCTTACAACGCAATATGGTCATCAAGGATGAAAAACACCACCGATTGTAGCAGTAGAGAATTTATTCCAGCGTAGAAACGCTGAAATTGTCCAGCAGAAATAAGGAACAAAACACTAGAAGGCAGAGCATGGTGACAATTGTTCATTTCTCACAACTGAAAATTGGAGGGGCATTACTACTAGTTGCAGGCTTAGCAACCGTGGTAAGAGGTCATAAAACAAGGCAAAACTCACTTAACAAATGTGTTACTTAACAACATAAATTTGAGGCTCCATTGTGATTGTAAGTTCAGGACTAGCTATATTTTAGTCAACAAGGTTATGAATCCCCAGCACAAAACATCCCCCCCCCCTCTCTCTCTCACACACACACACTTAGGAATAACACCGAAACACTTTGTCAAAGGCTTCGTGGTCCACCACTTGACCCAAGACAAGTGAAAAATACAGGACTTTCTTCTGGTCGCACTGTCTGAACTTCAGGAGGAACCTGTTGCTATCTCTGTCCTTGTCCCCCAAGGTCACCACAGAATCGACCGGACAGCAGAAATTCTTCCTCTTTCCCCAAAATGTCAGGTGCGAAATTTTCAAGAGAGTCCCGCTTTCGTTCAGATACATTAAGCCGATGACCCGTTCCAGAAAGAAGCTGAGGGTGTACAGAAACACGAGGGTGAAGGAGAAGAGGCCCGTGACCAAAGTCACCTGGTTTAGCCCATTGAAGTACCAGAGCGGAGGGAGGACCAGCAAACCGAAGCCCGTCTGCACCACTTTCAGCCTCGACAAGAGTTTCAACAACCGGATGGCCGGGAATCGGTAAATCACGGTGAATTTCTCTGTGTTTTCAGTGCTAGACGGTGGCTTTGGGTCTTGTTGAGACAAGTCGACGGTACTCAGCCATCGGGGCTGCACCCTGCACAGGCCGGGCGTACACGGGCTACCTCCCTGTTGCAGAATAGTAGGACTTTGAAAAGAATGGAGCCCCACGTGGCCTCTTTTCCACAATGGCAGAGCAAGGCTGTTCTGAAGACAACGGGGCTTGAAGAGGGCCAAATGCTGACGGGTGCAGCTGACGAGGCTCTTCATCTGCAACGAAATAGAAAAGGTTTTCATCAGGTTGCAAAGCGGGATACAACTTTCACAGAACAGATTCTTATATTTAAAGAAAAAGATGCTTTCACTTAATTAAAGGCTAGGATGTCGTCTTTGAGGTTATTACATTTTATTTCGCTTTATCTCCATGTAGCTATAAGAATTCTTTCCATTCTTCATATTCTTCATTCCTAGCTTTTGTCTTTCATGTTTTAACATTTTACTGAGTTATAACACGAGATACAAAATGCAAAAGTAAATAGGGAAGCAGTGGAGGTGGGGGAGAGGTAGGAAGGGAAGTGAGGAAGAGTTGGGAAAAAGAAAACGAAGTTAGGACTTGGATGAGAGGCCATTAGCAACTCTCAGAGCTTAGGCGAGACTGCAAAATCTAGAACTGTTTGGAATAAAACCACATAACTGTTATATGGACAAGAAAATTGTTTCTATGCCAAAAGAGAGTTCATTAGTTCTGCTGAGGCTTAGACCAAGTTAGCCTGTGGACAGGAGACCACCAAGAAATGCCAGGGGTACGGGCAACACTAGGACGCCCCATGCACACTCTAGAAGCTGCAGCAACAAAACTTTAAATCAAAGTTACAATGGCACAGAAAAAAGTGACTTATAACCATTTTTCTTATAACCATTGCAGCATCTCCATGGTAACCTGATTTACATTCGGATGCTTGACAACTGACTCCCATTTATGACGGTTGCACTGTCCACGGGGGTCATGTGATCACTTTTTGTGTCACTGGGGGAGCCAGATTCACTTAACAACTACATGTAGTCCTCGACTTAACAACAGTTCATTTAGTGACCAAAGTTACAACAGCACTGAAAAAAGTGACTTATGACCGTTTTTTCAGTTATGAACTTTGCAGCATCCCCATAATTATGTGATCAAAATTCGCATGACCGTTGCAGTGTCCCGGGGGAATCACGTGATCCCCTTTTGCGACCGTCTAACAATCAAAGTCCATGGAGAATTCAGATTCACTTCACAACCAGGTTACTAACTTATCAACTGCAGTGATTCACTTGACAACGGTGGCAAGAAAGGTTGTAAAATGGGACCATACTCACTTAGCTCAGTGGCTAAGACACTGAGCTTGTTGATCAGCAAGGTTGGCAGTTAGGGGGTTAGAAACCCTAGTACAGGTCTCCTGTGTGAGCAGGGAGTTGGACTACATGACCTCCAGGGCCCCTTCCAACTCTGTCTCACTCAGCAAACAGAAATTTCGGCTCCACTGTGGTTGCAAGTCGAAGACTACTTCTATTTTAATAGAAAAAGCCCTGCCGTGATAAAGAGGTCAAGGGGCCCACTACTCTTGGTGGTCTCGTCTCCACACCGGCCCCCAGACCCAACCTCGCTGAGCCGGTTTGGATATCAACAGGGACCGGCCGCCCTGCACCCCGATGGCATCGCTGCGTGGTCTCCACTCCATGCCCGATGCAGCGGTTCCAATGCACCGTGCAAGAAACCTCGCTTTGCACGCGCGACCCCTCCCCAACCCGCCCGTGGAATGCAACAGTGCCCCCCCTCCCCACACCCTCGCTGGGGAAGATGAGCTCTGCAGTCAAAGGCGCCGAGAAGGCGGCAATGAGATTTACCGCAAAGGGGCCGGCAGCTCGTGCAAACACCCCGGGCAGTCCAGGCGGCGCAGTGGCTGCTGGGAGTTGTGGTGCAAGCGCGCATGGAGGGGGATGACGTCACCTGCGGGAGGCGGCCTGAGATCCCCAAAGCTGCCAATCCTCGCGCGGCCACCAGATGGCAGTAAAGATACGCCAGGGGCAAAAACTCCCGGGGTTTGTCGTCCCTTTGGGTTGTCGGGAGTTGTGCAAAGTCTGGTCCAAAAGGGGAATAGGCCAGGTGGGAGCAAGACTCCAAACCTGGGGTCCCCCAAACTTGGCAACTTTAAGACTTGTGGACTTCAACTCCCAGAATTCTCCAGCCAGCTGTGAAGTCCACAATTTTTAAAGTTGCCAAGTTTGCAGACCCCCTGCTCCAAAAGTTCAAGGCGTGTGGCTGGGAAGGTTTTTCCTTTTTTGGTAATTAAAAAAAATGCAAAAATGGAAGCTGTTCCATTTTTAATGCACGGGAGAATATCTGGAGGGTCTTCAGAGTCTTTCTGCTTTGATTCGGAATGAGCAAAAGCCCTTTCGAATTCAAGGGGCTGGATTTGCAGCCGCTCTTTTGAGTGAAACCCGTGTTTCGCAATCTCTATGTTCAAAGAGGGAGTGGAGAAGAGTGGAGGGAGTTTCAACAGGGGGATGGTAAGTCATGGTAAGTGGCTGGTGAATTCTAGCAGTCGAAGTCCACCCATCCTGAAGCTGCAGAGGGTGGAGAAACTCTGCCTTAACCGGGCTTAACAAATCCCCGCGGGCCACGTATCTTTCCCCCAGCACTCTTCGGCCCCGCATTGGGGCGGCAGCCGAATGACAATCGGAAGCGACCAGCGCCGCTGGTTCTTCCCATCCATACGCGCTCTTGGTAGGCCTCCGCCAGGATGCAGGAGAGGGGCGGGCATGCGTAGACGTCGCCTCGGCCCGGAGGCATGCTGGGTTCTGTAGTTTTTACCCCGCTCATCCCGTCCGAAGGAGCCGGCGAGCAGAGCCATGGAGGGCGAGGGCGGCGCGTCGGTTCTCTGCCTCTTCGACGTGGACGGCACCCTGACCGCGCCTCGGCAGGTGGGACTAGGGGAGATCGAGCAGAAGGGTGTCTCTGAGCATGGGCAGAGTACTTTGAGCCCAGGAGGAGAGGAGGGAGGAGGGCGGTGCAGGCAATTCCTTACAAGCCAGCAACACAGGTTTGCAAGGAATTCCTGGTCATTAGGTGGGGGCAGTTGCAGGTAGCAGTCCTCGACTTATGACCGCGATTGAGCCCAAAAATTATGTCGCTAAGTGAAAGGGTGGTTAAGAGATTTTACCCCATTTTACGACTTCTCTCGCCACAGTTGTTAAGTGAATCATTGCCATGGTTAAGTCACATTTAACTGGTTGTTAAGTGAGTCAGGCTTCCCCATTGAAGTTGCTTGTCAGAAGGTTGCAAAAGGGGATCACGGGATTCTAGGACACTGCAAACCGTCATAGCTATGAGTCAGTTGCCAAGCGTCGGAGTTTTGATCACCTGACCACTGGGATGCTGCAATGGTCGTAAAGTGTGAAAAATGGTCATAAGCCACTTTTTTTAGTGCTGTTGTAACTTTCACCAAACAAACCGTTATAAGTCGAGAACTATCCTTATTATTATTAGGGACGTGGTGGCTCAATGGGTAAGAAGCTGAGCTTGTCGATCAGAAAGGTCGGCAGTTGGGCAGTTCGAATCCCTAGTGCCGCGTAACGGAGTGAGCTCCCGTTATTTGTCCCAACTTCTGCCAATGTAGCACTTTGAAAGCATGTAAAAAATGCAAGTAGAAAAATAGGGACCACTTTGGTGGGAAGGTAACAGGGTTTCCTGCGCCTTTGGCGTTGAGTCATGCCTAAGGTGACCAGATTTTCAGATTGGTAAAGAGGGACACCACTGACCCGGGGGGGGTGGGGGCTTGATTAAAAATTTTATATTTTGTCAAAAGGTCACCCCAGGACACTGAAATCAGCATAAATACGAATCTGTTGCCAAACAATTTTATATATATATNGAAGGCAGCTGATAACTAGCATACGGCCCTGCCCCCTCTCTGCCTCCGACGCAGAGCCCTCATCAGAGCCTTCCCCAGACTCCAGGACTGGCCCATCTTCCTCCCCAACCTCCTCACTGTCTGAGTCTGCTGCAGGCTCCACTGGTGGGCCATAACACTAACCAAGGAGAGAAGCAACCTAAAATGAAGGAGAAATTTGCTAAGAGTGAAGACAATTAACCAATGGAACAAAATTGCCTTCAGAAGTTGTGGGTGCTCCACCACTGGAGGTTTTTAATAAGAGATTGGACAGCCATGTGTCTGAAATGGTATAGGGTCTCCTGCTTGAGCAGAGGGCTGGACTAGAAGACCTCTGAGGTCCCTTCCAATACTAATATTCTATGTTCCTACAGCCATTTCCAGGTCTTAGAACCTCTCCACCATTAGCAAACATTGTTAAGCAAGGTGCCCAAACTCGCCTACCTGCTAAAATGTTTTAATGTGCCTGTAAAACTTTTATGCATGTATAATGTGTACTCATTCTATCTACTTACACGTTCAAACTTAAATGCCTTCATTTTCAAAGCATTACTTTTCAGAACTATATTCTATACATACATCAGTGCCTCCCTTAAACAAGGGTGATGACTCAGTACAAGGAAGTCCTTGACTTACAACCACAATTGAGGCCAGAATTCCTACTGCTAAGCAAGACAGCGACCTCTGCCCACATGTTACCACCTTTCTTGCCATGGTTGTTAAGGGAATCACTGCACTTGTTAAGCCAGTCACACAGTTGTTACAGTGGTGGGTTTCAATTTATTTTACTACCGGTTCGCTCGTGCGCATGTGCAAGAGCATCCGGGCGGGTGGGTGGAGCTTCCCACACCGCCGCCACTACCGCTTCGCCTGATCTGGGGCAAACCAGTAGGAACCCACCTCTGGATTGTTAAGTGAATCTGGCTTCCTCTTTGACTATGCTTTGTCAAGAAGGTTGCAAAAGGAGATCACATGATTCCGGGACACTGCAACCGTCATACGTACAGTACATGCCAGTTGCGGAGCGTCTGAACTTAGATCAGGTGACTACGGGGATGTTGCAACGGTCTTAAGTGTGAAAAACGGTCGTAAGTCACTTTTTTCAGTGCTGCTGTAACTTTGAACATTCACTAACCAGATGGTTGTAAGTCGACAACTTTCCTGTACACAAGAAAACTGTCAGAGGGGAATTAAGATTTCATGTCTCCAGACACCTAGAACAAGGAGAAGGAGAAAAGGAGAAAGAAGATGGACTAAATGAAGGACAAGAAGATACCGTATTTTTTCGAGTGTAAGACGCACCGGAGCATAAGATGCACTGGAGTATAAGACGCATCAAGGTTTTCAAGAGGCAATTTTTTAAAAAAAGTTTTTGCACTCTGCAGACCTCCCAAAAAAGGCAGTTTTTTCGTGAAAATGGGCCCGTTTTTTTTAAAAAAGGCATGAATAGCCTTTACGAGGCTCCCGGGGGGGGGGGGGACAAAAATGAGCAAAAAACGGCCCATTTTTCACTCATTTCTGCCCTCTCCAGCCCCCAGAAGCACTCTGGAAGCCTCCTAAAG